CACACACACACACACACACACACACACACACACACACACACTATGTCTCTCTATCCTTGTGGGGAATTTCATTGACTTCATTCCATTTTTTTGGTAATTTTATATCCTAACCCTGACCACAAACCCTAAGGCTAACCTCACAGGTACGCTGACCCTAAAATAACCTAAACTCAATTCACACCTTGGTCCTTAACCCAACCTTCCCACCCAAAATCAGCTTCTGAAGTTGTGGGGACCAAGGAGCATCCGGTCCCAACAAGGCTGCCTTTTCCTGAGAAATTGTCCCCACCAAGTAGCAGGAACAAAGCCACACATACACACGCACGCACGCACGCACACACACACACACACAAAATTGACAATATTTATCTATAAATTAACTTGAATGGATTGCTTGTGACATGAAAAATATTGGCTCGTTGGTAATTTTCCTTGTTGTAAAACAGGATATTTCACAACTTTTAGAACCAGATAATACAATATATCTGCTATATTTTTCACCTCATCTCAGCACCGTTTTCACTTCCCTCTTTGCATCCTCTCTGCCTCTATATGTTGGCTGGGTAAAGTAGAGCTTTCTTTTTCTTGATGAAGGTCATGCCCTGCTGACTGAGTCTTGATCAAGATGAACACTTGGAATGTCACATTATTTAAAACAGGGGTGTCCAACCAGTTGATCACAATCAACCGGTCGATCCCCGGCTGGTTCCCAGTCGATTGTGGAGAGTTGTAGAATGCAAAATTGTTTAACATTGCAGCCTTGAATGTGCTCCCTCCTGCCCTCCCCCTTTTGTAGATGTGACCAGGTTTCATTCACAGTAGTCTCGCGAGTTTTGGGTGCGGTGACACAGCACTCAGAACATGATCTCACAAGACTTTGGTTCAGTAGTGGAGTTGCCGGTGCAGAAAAACATGGATGAAAAATGAGCAAACAAGAACTTATTATTTTCACCTGGAGTGGGAGGAGGAGTACTTTTTTGTTTATTCTAATTCGAAGTGTATTTGCCTCATATGTATTTCGAGTGCTGCCTTATCCAAAAAGGGTTACTTGGTGCGGCATTTCAAGACGATGCAGAAACGGTACAAGAAGTGTTTCCCTCCTAAAAGTTCTTTACGGACTCAGAAAGTGCGGGAGCTGAAAAACAAGCTTGTGACGGCAATCGTTTTTAACTCGGCCCAACATAGAAGGTAAGGCTGCTACTATGGCCTCATACCATGTTAGCCACATCCTGGCTCAACCCAAAGTCTTTCAGTGATGGAGAATTCATGAAAGAAGCATTTATTGAGGCTGCAGGTGTGCTTTTTCATTTTTGTAAAAATAAAAGTGAGATCGTGGCTGCTATTAAAGATGTGCAGTTGTCCAGACAAACTGTGAAACTGACATGGCTATGTGAGAGAATGGCTGTGAATGTGGAGGAGCTGCCAAAAAGGACGTTGAACAATGTGGGTTCAGTTTGATGAGTTGACTGACATGATGTGGCCCAGCCATGTGTTTTCATTTTAGACCAGACTAGTGTCTTATACACTGACTGGCACCTTTGTGTTATTTATTTATTTATTTTGCAGTTTGGGTGTGCCCTTGTTTTCTGTACCTAACTTGGTCGCTCGTGTGTGTGTGTGTGTGTGTGTCTTGTCTGATAGGTGGTGAATCAGGTGGAACTTTTTGAATGGTCTGGAGCCGGCAGTCTGGACCAGTGAAGGACTGAGCCCTTCAACACCTGCAGATGACACCATCCTGCATGCTGCACAGAGATTGAGGTTTGAAATAGTTGTTGGAGATTTGTGAATCTGCAACTTTGTAAGTCACTTTTTGTAATAGTATAAACAAGAGAGTTTTATGTTGTGTGCTTTGACTTTTAAAAAAGGGTGGAACTCTTGTGGTAGCCTTGTTGATCCTTATAGATTTTTGTTTTGTTTTTCCTCCCCTGTATGGAAAGAGAGAAGAGTTCTTTGAACAAACGTAGATGAGTTCCCGTGCTCCAAAGTTTTTAAGTCTGTGGTTCTCTCAGTGTGCAGGTTTCCAGCCCTCATAGCTCACATGTTACAGAGTTCTAATTGAAGGAGGTAAAAAAAATTGATCCTTTTTGTTCGAGCATCACTTTTATGTTTCTCTGTCAGGAGTTAAGTAAGGATTTTTTCTTTTCTTTTTTGTTGGTAAATATATGGTTAAGTAGATAGTTTTGTTTGACAATACTTTAAATTAAATAAAACTAGCAACACATTACGTTCTGTTTTATTTACTTTAAAGAAGTGAGGAGTATGGAGATGAAAAATTATGTTTTGTTGATTCTGAGACTGGACGAGTAGATCTCGGCAAACTGCCGACTTCACAAGTAGCTCTTGGTTCAAAAAAAGGTTGGGCACGCCTGATTTAAAACCTCATCGTGAATGTCTACGATTCTGCAACTGCTTTTGTGCCTCCTCTCCTTTTGCCTCTCACTGACTGATGGAGGGTGGGGTAATCTGCACTGGTTACCATGACACCAGACAGCCCTTGCTTGATGAAGGCACGTAGCTTCATCTCAGCTCTACTTTCCCCGGAGCCCTCTGCTCAGGAGCATGTGTGGATCTGCATCTGAGTGTGTGTGCAGATCTCGACGAGTCATATGATGATGCACAGGATGCACATTACCACATGGATAAATTTGTGTCTCAAAATGTAGACCAAGGCAAGTCGTAAAAAATGTGCCTTAATAACAACAAATAACCATTATTCTGAACTAATGACTGATCTACGTTTTTTTTTATTTTGGGAGTCTGGATTATTTGTACTAATTTCCTCTAAACTCACTCATTTGGGTAATAAATGTGCTCTTGCTTGTAGAGTTTTTTTATAAACACCATAGTGTATCATATTTCGTTGATATAATATGTTTTTGGTTTGTTTTTCCTCATCCAACCTTCTGTGGTTTTTTAGTTTTTCTTTTTAAAAGGTAGTGCGACCCCTGCTGGTTGCTGCATGACCTGATCACCTGTTCCCCCATGTTTTTGTTATGTGTCTTCTTTAATGGGTGTTCTAAAACGTTATTTCATTGTGCTCTATACAATGACAATAAAGGCATTATCATCATCATAAAATCAATCAATTAATCAATCAATGGTCTTCAGAATATATTCAAAAATGTATTCAGTTTAAATATTTTAGTTAAACCTCTAAAACTATAGTAATGAAAATTCTGTTACTGCAACATAGTGATAGTCATTCATGAAGCCAACACCCTGGGACCCACTCAGAGACCTGTGCAACACCAACAGAAGACATTCACTTTATCGCCCATCCATAAATCCTATGCACAGTTTTATCTACTTTCTCAGCCATTTTTCGTTAAACCTAAACCACTCTCCATCTAATAATAAAAATCTAATTGTTCCATATTTTCCTATCAGTGCATTCCATTCTTAGATTGCAGGATTACTTGTGGTTCCTACAGTTTCTTAAGAGTAAAATGTGACATAGTGCTTTCAGTTCTCAGGTCAATTTCTGGTGCAACCAAACTTCCCATGTCTAACTGTAAGGCTAACACTCCAATATTAGAGTGGACTTGGGTTTACTGAGCTATGGCAAATAATTTTAATAGAAATTAATTGAAATTTCGTCAATTCCATTGCTCTCTTTGAATCATGATTTATTTGAATCTTTATATGCTTTTTGCCACTAAACTTTTAGGTGGCCTCTTTCAGCTTAACCTGTTTAAGCCCACAGGTGTTTAGAGGTTGATCCTCAGGTCTCCCTTATAAAGCCAGCAGCAGATGAGCCAGTAACTCGCAGGTGTGCCCAATTTGCGTTGCCAGGTAGGCAAGGAGGCATACGGTGAAATTCACCGAAATGCCTCAGTATTCGCTCTTTCATTTCTCTTGTGGCCCCTGTATCAAGCCCAGCTCAACAAATTAAACAAATCAGTTTAATAATTTTCATCAAATTCCTTCAGCAATCAACATTCACACTATATTTTCACAAAAGAACTTTTCTAGTGTCTGTAGACATTGTCATACACTGTTTCCACTAATTTAATGTAAGGTACACTAATTACCAATTGGACAATTGACTTCAAGACTATTTCATGGACAGGTGTGGTCAATCCCTCCATTATGTCATTCTCAATTAAGCAGATAAAAGGACTGGACTTTATTTGAGGTGTGCTTCTTGCATTTGGAAGGTTTTGCTGTGAAGTAAACATGCAGTCAAAGGAGCTCTCCATGCTGTTGAAACAATCCATCCTTAAGCTTCAAAAACAAACAAAAATCATCTGAGAAATAGTTCCATTACCAATAATACCACCCTGGATTCTACCAGATGCAATAGTTGATATGACACTCATGGACAGGAAAAAGAGAGTCATTTTTAATTCATACATGGTACAGGACTATATTGATACACCACAAAAACTGTCCACCTAACCAAGTTTTAAAATCTTATATCCAGACCAAAAGTCTTTTTGATCTTGTTTTGAGACTGATTTACTAAACAAGAACTGATTGTGTAAGAATAATCATCTTGTTTTCAGAATTTGTAAGATTATTTGTTGTTAGTCTGAAAATTTGACTCAAATTCAGTCAAAAATTTCTGCCAGTGGAGTAAAAAAATTTGACTTGTTAAGATTCTTGAAATAAGAAAAAATTGAGTCAAATCCAGTATTTCAAGAATCTTACCAAGTAAAATGTTCTTACTCCACTGGCAGAAATGTTTGACTTAATTAGAGTCAAATTTTCAGACTAACAAGACAAATAATCTTACACATTCTGAAAACAAGATTATTATTCTTACACAATCAGTTCTTGTTTAGTAAATCAGTCTCAAAACAAGATCAAAAGACTTTTTGGGCTGGATATAAGATTTTAAAACTTGGTAGGTGGACATTTTTTGCAGTGTAACTATCATGATTATGTGCAGATATGTACAGATGCATCAAAAACAACAGAAAACAGAGTGGCATACATAATACCAGAATTAAAAATAGAAATAAAGAAAATTATCACAAATCAAGTATCAGTATACACAGGGGAGATGTTGGCAGTATTATTGGCAGTGCAGTGGGTAGAAGAGACAATACCATTAAAAACAATCATCTGTTCAGATTCAAGCACAACACTTATAAGTTTGCAGAGCAGTCAATCAGACAGCCGACCAGACATTATATTAGAAACACTACAAACCCTATTCAGAATACAAATGATGTGACTAACAGTAAACTTTTTATGGATACCAGCACACATAGGTGTCAGATGGAATGAAGCAGCAGACAGAGCAGCAAAACAAGCAACAAATGATCAAATTAGCCTCACAGTATCAATAAGTAAATCAGAATAAGATCTATTGTCAAACAAACACTGAAGGACCAATTGCAAAAACACTGGGAAGAAGATAACAAAGCAAGATGGTTTCATAGGATTCAAAGACAAGTGGGAGATATGAGAACAGGAGGAAGGAACAGAAAAGAAGAAAGATTAATAATCAGACTTAGATTTGGACACACTGCACTGAACAAAACGTTATACAAAACCCAAAAACATGATACAGGTCAATTTGAGCACTGTGGGCAAGAAGAAACCTTAGAACAAGTCATGTTAGTATGCAGGGAATACGAACAACACAGAAGATGGATGATAGAAGAATTAAGAAAAATCAAAGAAACATTTAATATAATAAAAATATTACAAAAAGAAACCAGAAGTAAAGGTATACAAATTGTTTTAAGTTCTTTTAGAAAAACAAAATTAGAAAAAAGAAAATTAAAATAAAAAGTATTTTGATCCACACTCCATATCAGTAGGTGGCGGTAATGCACACCTTCTGTTGTTTGCCAACTGCCATAAAACAACACACAAGAAGAAGAACATCTGAGAAATTGTTACATTAGGATTGGTAAAATCTACAGTTTGGTCCATCCTGAGAAAGAAAGAAAGCACTGCTGAACTCATCAATGCCAAAAGACCTGGGGACCACGGAAGACAACAGTGGTGGATGATGGCAGAATAATCTCCATGGTGAACAGAAAGCCCTTCACAACAGCCAACCAAGAGAACAACCCTCTGCAGGAGGTAGAAGTATCAACATCCAAATCTACCATAAAGACAAGACTGCATGAAAGTAAATCCAGAGGCTTCACTGCACGCTGCAAGACACTCAGAAGACTCAAAAATAAAAAGGCTGGACTGGACTTCGGTAAAAAAAACATGTAAAAAAACAGCAGAGTTCTGGAAGAACATTCTTTGGACAAATGAAACCAAGATCAACCTCTACTAGAATGATGGAACGAGAAAAGTCTGAAGGTGTGGTCCAGGTCCTGATCCAAAGCACCACATCTTGTGTAAAACCCAGCAGAGCAGTGTGATGGCTGCCAGTGGCACTGGCTCACTGTGTTTATTGATGATGTGACACAGGACAGAAGCAGCCCAATGAATTCTGAGGGATTCAGAGCCAGACTGTGTGCTCAGATCCAGACAAACTGAGTGGTCATCATTTCATCCTACAGATGGACAATGAGCAAAAACATAAAGCTAAAGCAACCCAGGAGTTTTTTAAAGCAAAGAAATGGAATATTCTTGAATGGCCAAGTCAGTCACCTGATCTCAACCCAGTTGAGCATTTCACTTGTTAAAGACTAAACTTCAGACAGAGGCCCACAAACAAACAGCAACTGAAAACCTCTGCAGTGAAGGCCTGGCAGAGCATTAAAAAGGAGGAAACACAGCTTCTGGTGATGTCCATGAGTTCAACACTTCAGCCAGTCATTGATAACAAAGGCTTTTCAACCAAG